CCCTTCTCTCTCTGTATCTTTCTCTCCTCTCCCTATCTTCCCCCCCCACCGTTCTCTGTATCTCTCCCCCTTCTTTCTATGTGTCTCTGTATTTGTCTCTCTGCCCTTCTCCCTATCTTCCCCTCTCTCCCCCTCCTCTCTCTGTATTTCTCTCTCTCCCTATCTTCCCCCCCTCTCTCTATCTGTGTGTGTGTGTGTGTGTGTGTGTGTGTGTGTGTGTGTGTGTGTATATATCTCTCGTTCTCGGTCTCTGCTTCTCTCTCTCTTGGAAGCAAGCTCTCCTTGGGGCTCTTTGCTGCTCCTTTTATTTCTTCTTTTTGGAAATCCGGGTCAGGTGAGGAATGATGGCCAGCCGCAGCGGAAGCTTCCCTTTGGGTGACCCTCCTCCTCTCACGACCCCTTGGCCAGCTGTGGTGGGGCCGTGAGAGTGCGCACGTGTGGGGAGACCCTCAAGCTAGTGCCAAGGGCAGCAAAGATGTGCACAGGGTGGGCAGCTGCTTCGCTTAAGGAGAGTCTCCCCTCCACAGCTGGCCAGGGGATCGCAAGAGGAGGAGAACGAGGAGGATGGTTGTCCTCAGCCAGCCTGGATTTTCAAAAAGAAGAAATAAAAGGAGTAGCAAAGAGCCCCAAGGAGAGCTTGCTGGCTTGGCCTAGCCATGGCTTTCCATGAGAGAAGAAATGCAGAGACAGAGAGAAAGTGCGCATGAAAGAGAGAGAGAGAGCGGCCGACAGGCTTTGGTGAGAGCGCTCCGGCTTTCTCCAAGCCTGAGCCTTAGGGTGGGCATGCAAAATTTGGTGGGGCCAGCTTTTTTTTCCCGTTGCCCTCTTAAAGCTGCAGCTGGACCGGCGGGCCTGTCCCCCTTTCCGTCATCCCATCCTCCAGGATCCCATTCCCACCCCACCAGCCCTCGTATTAGCAAGGCTGGCATAAGTCATGGCCTTGCCGAGCCAGTGTCTCGGGGCAGAGAGCAGGTTGCACGTCTCCCCAAGTGACCGAGGCACGCCCAGCATCAACAAGGGCTGGAAGAAGCTCCAGCAAGAGTGAGGCACCGGCAAATCAGCCCTGGCAGCTTCTCCATCCCCCGCCGTCACCCTTACCTTCTCAGGCCACGTGAGGGAGGGTGAGGGGTGGGGCCAGCCAGTGATGGGACAGTGAGCCACAGCAGAGGGCCCAAAAAGCCATATGCAGCTCTGGAACTGCGGGCTGTCGACATCCGAATTAGCATGATTGCTCAGTCATATATTTAACAATTGAGCTCAGTAAAAATTTCAGATTTGAATGGCATCTGGAATATTCTAACTCCAAGACATTAAATTTAGCAGTAGAAGAATTGGCACATTAAATTTAGCAGTAGAAGAATTGGCATATTAAATTTAGCAGTAGAAGAATTGGCACTTACAGATTATAGCGCTACAAAGACTCCTTAACATCTGCTTGCTTGTTTGAGCCAAGTAGGGAATTGTATTTTTTTAAAGTCCTATTCCATCTCACATCCTTTATCTGTAGTTAACAGTTAAGAGTGGCCTTGTATTAAAAAAAAATGCAAGTTGTGGTGATGGTAGTGACGATGATGAGGATGATGTAGTCAGATATTCTTATCCTCTAATTGCAGTTAACTGTAAGTTTTTCTTTTCTTAGGTTTTGTAAGTTATGACAATCCCGTCTCTGCACAAGCTGCCATCCAGTCAATGAATGGATTTCAAATTGGCATGAAGCGACTGAAAGTACAGCTCAAGCGCTCTAAGAATGACAGCAAGCCATATTGAGTGCCCCTCCCCCTGGAACTGGAGTGAGAAGGATCTTCTGGTAAGTTGGGGAGGAGCCCACTAGGGATTCAAAAATTCTTTTAAGGCTGTATTTTTACAGTCATGGAAGCTGATTGATACCATTCTGTGTGGCACATCTTCCCCTGAAGACTCAGCTGCAGCCTCTACTGGGAATTCTGCGGATGGAGGACAACTTTGTGCTTTTGTTTCCAGTGTTTTACTTTGGAGTTTAGGTGCCATATCACTATTTTTTTTTTAAAGTTTGCTGTGTTTGTAACTCTGTTTTTGAGAAGGACCAATGCCAGCCACCTTGGAGAGGAAAGGAAAATAGTAAGTGCAATTGGAAGTGACACTGCATGAATTAGATATGAGGAGACCCCAATGATACTCATGAAAGGGGGAAGCAGGAAGCGGAATCCAAATCATGTGGTGGTTGGTTCATAAACAACCCCTAATGAGCTTTGCCAACTATTTTCGAGGTTTATTTAGTAAATGCCTTACGTGAGAACTGTATCAGTCAGTTGGAGGATAATAGTTGGGCAAAAATATTCATGTGGAAAGGAAAAATATAGTAATTATAATGCTAAAATATGTTTGTATAGTGCAATGTGTGTGGTTGCAGCTTATAAAAGTATCCAGTGATGTTTTTTGATCAGCTATTTACACTTTGGACAGAACAACCTTTTTAAAAATTGGATAATACGAATCAGTGTTTCAATTTATTGGAAACTACACTTGAAGTTAGTTGGTTTAATGAAGTTATCTACACTTTAGGCTGTAATCCAGGAATTCCTGAATTTAATTTACAATCTTAAATTTTTACTACAAATCCAATGTCTCATGATAAAATTTGTTCTTCTCCTGTTCTACAACTTGTACATGAAGAAATGGTGTTCATAAAGTACAGGTTAAAGCCTCCTTCGTGTTAAACTGACAGGTGGTGTTAAAATGAGCTCTTAGTGCTCTGATTTCTGGCATTCTCCTCCCCCTTCCCCCCCCCCCCCCCCAAACTTTGTACGAATGTGTGTCAGAATAATACTGGCTCAAAAAAAAATTTTTCTTGTTTCTTATATAGATTTATTTTTCACAAATAATGCCATCTTGTTACATAGCAGTTTTCCTTTGAGCGTGTGCCAGTGCAAAAGACTAAATTCAAAGGGCTGAATCTATGCAGAATTTTGATCTGGTCTACATATTGCCTGAGCCCAGTGCCTAATAATTCAAAGTCAGATTTCTTCCCCTTCTAATACACATCCTTTTTTCACATGAGCGTAACTGCCAAAAGCATTAAATTTTTAAACGCACTGTAGACCTGAATCCAAAGGGAATTTTTAATAGTATGACTTTGAGCCATGGCAAGAAGTTATGTAAAATCTAGTCCTGAGACTAGAAAAAGCTAGTCCTATTGTTAGGAAAGTTTACAGTGTTATATATAGATTCAGTGTATTGCTACTTTCTGAATATGCTCTCTATCATTTGTTAAAACATTATTACAGCACGCCAGTCAACCCATAAATCTTGTATTTAGGAACAAGACATTTTAGGGGAGGATGGAAAAAATAATTTCCAAGAAAAATCCAAAAGCTCATCAAGTTTGAAATGCCATTGTATAAGATAAAACTCAGTAGGATATCCAGGCATTTACTAGGGACTGGGTCCCCTTGTTTACTAAAACTGAGGCATTATAATTTGCATACGGCCATCCATCTGTGATTCAAGTTGTTTTTCTGATGAATTTAAAAGGCATATACAATGGTGATAAAAAAGTTGAATGGTCAAATTGCCAAATTTTCCATTTGTGCAGGCATGTGGTATCCTTCAGTGTTGAATATTTGGGGTCTAATTTAAAAGCATATGCATACACTTTAGATAACTGTATACCGTTTGAAGTTTGTGCACTAGGAGAAGTTGTATCCTGATATTAATGAGGATGGGGGAGTGTTGGAGTGCTAAGGGTCCCAGAATTGTCAAGGGATTTTTTTAAATAAAAATATACTTTCAGGAAAAAAAAAGAGGTCACGGTTGGGAGCAGTTGCTCCAATTGCAACCTGATATAACCAAGAATGTTGTTTCTATTTTTATAGAAGTTTTATACTGCTCCAGGGTGGAGAATATTTATTATCTAAATTATTTCACTGGATAAGACCAGGGTTTTGCATAATCCTGAATGTGATTGTGTAATGCATACATAAACAATGTGCATGATTGAAACTACTGACTTTCAGTGGCCTGTTTGTAACTAGGCAAACTGCTAAATAGGATAAGAATTAATGCTGTGAACCAGTGGAGGAGGAAAGCTGTGCTCCATTTTTGCTATAGTCATTCCTCCCAGTACTATTACTCTTCTCAGTCACTATTACTAAATATTCTAAATACTTTGTCACTATTTATTCAATGTCCATATACTTTGTAACTTTTCTGTATGCTTCCATCATGACAGCTATGGGGCAACTTTCCTCCCGTTGAACTAGCAACACAATATTTGTGCTATGCTTATCCTATAATGTTTCCTTTCATAAGTATGATCAATGCAAGTGCCCTAATTCTACTGTCATAGAGTTACCAAAGTTAAGAATGCAGGTTAAATTATAAAAGTGAGATCTTTGGAATAGATTGGCAGAATTCTTGTGCCTTCGGTGGTGCTGTTCTGAATGACTTTAAGATAGAATGCTTCAACCAAAATATTTTTTTTCTCCTCAATTTCCCTTGATCCGGCCACACAAATGCTTTTCAGAACAAAAAATGAAGATTTGTTTCCCAGGGAGATTCCCACTTGGCAAGAAAATGAATCTGGTCTGTACAAGGATACATATAAATGCCCCTTTGGAGTTTTGCTTCCACATATCATGCTGTTAGCTTGTTACTCTGTCTGCTCCCTCCACCCAATCTTTGGCAAAAAATCACCGAAGCCGGTCAAATTGGAACATAATCATTTAGATACTTAATATCATAGTTACTTATACACACATCTTCAGATTAAAATGATGAGTTTGGAAATACATATGCAGAAGGCTGATATTGATAAAAAAAGTTCAAGTTATACTGAAAATTATATTGAGCAGAATTTGCATTCATGAAGCAAATTTTGCAACACCAGCGCCTTAGTATTATGGGGAGAGAGGGTGGATATCTTTAAAATAAACAAATAGTCATCATGGTTTTGCATGTAGCTTTTTATCTATGCATTTGTTTAATTCGTGTGAATGGATAGATTCTGGGAAAGAGAAAATGAGATTTGGGGGTGTGTATTTTATGATAAAAATAAAGACTGTCATATTTTAATTCGGCAAGTTAACTTTTGTAATCTCACCCCCTTCCTAAGGGTAGGAGCAAATGAAATCTTTGCTGGTTCTTTAATTCAAACATATTTAGGCAATTGCACAAACCAAGAAAAGATATTGCTTTTTAAAAGAACAGTTGACCAGTAGAGAGGGCTGCCCAAGCCAGATCTTTGCCATCTTTGGCCATGAATGCTGCACATCTCTAGTTGGATCAAAGGTTTTTCTGCCAGTGGGAGCCTTCTTGGGTTCATTAAGGATACTCCAGGGGAAGTGATTTTACTTATGTACTTCTCTTAGTATTACTATCAAATTCTTCCAATGAATTCCCCTATCCTAGGACATTCAGGGGTATAGGGAATTATAAAGAGGGGGAAAAGGTTAACAAGGATTAACTCCTCCCTTGTTTCAGCTGAAGAAGGATTGCCCTAGATCCAAAACATCAGCTAATGGAAGGATGGTTTGTTTAAAGATCACTCATTTTAATTCCAAGTCAGCGTTGTTTTTAAGTAAGTTTCAAATTAAATAACAGCGTGGCTTGACATTTGTTAGAAAAAGTAAATTGCATTCACACAAATGTATACTTCATTTGTATTATTCCTCTGAAAGAGAGCTCTGTATTTAAATCAAAATGTTGTAACATGCATTATAATTAGGATGGAAGTGAGGGCAAATCTAAGAACAATACTTTTTCCAATAATCGTATGCTGCTTCAGACAGTTGCTTATGAACACTATGTTAAGAGAATGCTTAAATGTGTTTGTCCTTGATATTTAGATCTCTTGTGTTGTGATCCTGTTAGAGATTCTGTCGCTTTGAAAACCTCTTACAAGTCTGCAGATAAAAACCCTTCCTTTCAAAGCTGGCAGGGGTGACTGTAGAACCTTTGAGAGTCCAGAATTCCTCCTCACAGAATCAAAGAGCAACATTTATGTATCAAAAAGAGTTGCAAAGGAGGGTGGTGGGTTTTTTGCAAGTATAATAAAAAGGGCTCAGCTGCAGCAAGTCTTAACTTGCAGTCAAGTCTTAATTCTTTCTGTGGGGGCATCAGTTCTACTCACACAGTAAATGTGTTTAATGTCATTTAAATGCCAGAATCTACATACATGTACGTAGATACACAAGCGCATATGAGTTTCTATTGCCTAAGTATGCCCCATGGTAAGAAGAAGAAAGTGTTAAACTATCAGTGCCCAATTGCCCATCGATCTCTGCTTTGTCTCCCACCTGTTATGTGAACTGTGCTACAATTACATTTTATGAAGTCAGGTTCTAGTGGAAGGGAGGGGTGCTACCTTCCTCATGAAGACGTAGCGGAAACACTGACTTAGAGCTGTGTTGAATGCGCAGCTGTATGCCGCTAAGTCAGAGTCCATTCTGTAGCCAGAGTCTAAAGGGAATCCCAGGCCTCTGTTCCATTTAATTTCTGACAATTTTTACATTTATTTGGTGTCTTATGCACTTCAACTTTTACTTGTTCATTGTTGGCATGTGCTGCCCTTCCTTGTCAACTCTCCCCCTCCCAAAAGAGATCTCATTGTACAGTGCCCATTCCTGTTTCACTCTCTTCTCTCTTTCTCTCTCTGTTTGGATGTACTGTTCTGTGTAACTCAGTAGGTCTCCTTCTTTCTGGTTTGTTTTTTTCTAGATTCCTGCCGTTTGTTCATCGTTGTGCCTAAAGCATGTCGATGTGGCGTTCAAGTACATCGTCCAAATCCTTGTCTCTTCAGCTTCTCTGATGCTTGAACTCTCACCCTTTGACCTTGTGTTGACTTTTGATGCTGATGTGTATTTTTATTATGTTTGTTTCTTCTTTTTTTTTCCCTTCTTTTTTTTTGTGCTGCCAAATTGGTTTTGCTAGAAAGACTGCTGATGGGGAATATTTAAACTTGCATTTGAATATAAAAGAATTCTATTTTTCTAGAACTTCATAAGATAACCACTTGATTTTGTGATTCTGATTCTTTGTAATTGTCTTCAGAGCAGCCTTGCTAGCATACCTCGTGGAGTATTTGTATTTCTGTGAACATACAGCCAATCACTTTCTAGGCTTAGTTTTTTCTGTGTGCTTAGTTTCAACAAAAATCTTTGAAGGAAAAAGTAAAAGGATGCAACTCAAAACTTTCAGGAGGCTTCTGGTCACATTTTGCTGAACCTACTTGGCCATGCTTGAGAAGATAACATGTGTTCTATGACTTGAGTAGCTTCAGCAGAAAACACTTGAACTATAGTTTTTCCTGATTGTAGCTGCATTTTTGCCCTGGCACTTAACTGCTTTTTCCTTCCTGTGTGATTATCAGCCTTTGTCTGCAGTGAGAATTTAATCAAAGTTGGTGTTGTATTTTGTTAATCCTTTGCATGCTTAGTTTTTTGTAACTACAATCTCCTCAGCAAAATGTGAGTTTTTGTTTTTGTTTTGTTTTTCTTTTAAAATTTCAAATAATGCCCCTGTAAACGTTTTGCATGTTTCCTGCTGTGTTCTTCACAATCCTGTGTGTATATATATATATATATATACATACACACACACCCTTCACCTCTGTTTTCTATAGTTGGTGCAAAAACTGAGCAATTTATTAGGTTTCAAAGCTGTCCTTTTTTGGATGCCAGACTTGTGATCATATGTCATGTAAGGACATCTCCTGTGCATTTAGACTGCTTTACACAGTATCTGCACCTTGCTCTATTATCACAGCTATGGAAAGGTCTCAGGGGCTTGATTGCACTGTTCAGATGGTCATGGTGGCAGCGGCAGGGATATAAGTTTAACAGAAAGATGTGGGATGTTTGCATAATACTGCTTCTGAAATCCATTGGAGCTCAGGCTCTTTTGGGGTAGCCTTAATTTGTACCTCTTGTTTAATATGCGACTTGCTTTGTGAAAATTTTAACACCAATAACTCAGTGAATGGAAGCTTGATTGCTCTCCAGTTCTTACACTTGAAATAGCATGTCGTATATATCCCATAGAAGGAATCTGTAAGCCTAGGCACAAAACTGCTGGCTCTTTCTCCAAGTGACAAGCACAATAAAACAGCACATTGGCTGTTACCTGAACAGGGTACCAACCCCGGCTCCTATTCTCAGGGGCCTTAGCTGGGGGAATCTCCTCTGTGGAGAATTTTTTTTTAAGTTTTGTTCTTCAATTGGGTTAGGAGACGTGCAGTTTTCTTTCTTTTTTCTTTTCCCTTTTTTTTTCTGGCCTAATGAAGAAATAGGACAGATTATCCTTCTCTGGGAAACATGCTTCAGCTTTGCTGCGCATATGATCTGCTTTAGAAGCTGAGATATAGTCCGGGGGCTTCACAGCACCTGCAAAAAATCCTGTGGTAAGGACTAAGCACAAGGGGCAACGGGGTAGAGGAGAAGCTATGAAGGAATTTTAACAGGAGGAAGGAATGTGAAACAAAACATTTGGAGAGTAGAAACATGTAAGATACCTATCTAGGCTTTAGGAAGCTTTCACTCTATTGTTGGCAAAAACCAGCTGCCAACTCTCTTGCTGGATGGGTAATCTCTCTCCGTATTTGTTTTTCTCTCAACCTTGTGATCAGCATCGCTAAGGATGAGAGTGACTTGAAAGGGGATATATCATTGCATTATTTGGGGTACAGCTGTGAGATGATTGACCTTAGGCTCACAGTCACAATGCACAGGGGTGTCTGATGGCAGGGAAGTCAAGGCCTTGCAGTGTATTAATTAATTTTGCCAATACATTTATTTATAATGCGCATACAGTTTCATGAGAAACTCTGGAGAATCCTGTGGTAAAAAAAAAAAATCTCTGGAGAAAACCAAAATGCCAAACATTAGATGTTCCTTTCCTTTCTTTCCTTTGATTGTTTTAATAATTCTGTGGTGGTTTTAATGGATTTGAGACAGTAAAGCAGCAGCTGCCTTTTATTTCTAGCTGCTTTTTGTGAATAATTAAAAAAAAGAAAATTTACATTTTGGAAAAAAAAAACCTGTGGGCTTTTTTATTGGTACAAACATTGTATTTAACACTAGGGGTTTTGTACAGTTTTTTGCCTTTTCTACTAGAAAACAATGTAAAGTGATTCACAAATGTGACAAGAAAACAAATTGCCACTATGACCAAATGTAGAATCTGTTCTGCAGTTTAACAGGATTTAATCAACTCAAAGTCGTGATTCTGTTGTAGCAATGCTTTTCTTTACCCTGTTTGAACTGTTCCTTTTTCTTGTTTGATTTGCAAAACAAAATGTCTTTTTAGTGTGAAATTGTGTTGTACTCTGTAGAAAATTATGGATTTTACTTTAGTGGTTAAAAAAGAAGCACATGTTGCTTTTCTGATCACGGAGTTTGTGTAGTGGATTTAAAAATGAAAGTTTTGTTACAAGTTTGGAACGAGCGAGTATGTATTAAGGAATTTTCTTCCTTTTGTGTGTGGTTTCTTTTTGTCCCACTGGGGAACTTAAAGCTGTTTTAATTGCACAGACACACAGACAAGAAGTCATTTTGTATATGCCAAGTGTGGTATCTCCCTTTGTTTATTTGCTATTAAACTGTTTGAGAAGAAATTTCTGTGTCATCCTTGTATTTACTTATATAGAACAGGAAAATTGGTATCTGGGTATTTGAAGAAAGAGTTGCTTAGTCTAAATATATGAGAAGGTGGAATATATACACCATCTTTTCTGTCACTGGCATGCTGCTTCCTCAAACACAAAGGCTCACCTTTCCCCCCCTCTCTTAATTTAAATTATTTTTCTGAGCATTTCACTTTAAAGTTTACTTTTTATCCTTGATGTAAATTGGCTGGGTCAGGATCAGTTTCATCAAAGATTTTTCTGGTAGGCTAGTGTATGAAATACAAATATACACATGAGGAATAGTTTATTATACAAAAGTGCTCCGTTCAGTTTTCTTTCTGCTAAGTTTATCTTGTTTAAATCACCTTGGGAAAGCAGCCTCATTTTTAAAGCATAAAAATAAACAATATAGATAATCTGATAGATTCTCCTAATTCCTGCAACCGTATTTGCATCTTTAGTTCCCTTGCAACACTTCTACACTTTCTATTATAACTTTATTATAAGTATTTATATTGAATATAGATTATAATTACTTGTACTACAAGCAAATCTTAAGGCCTATATTGCAGGATGCATTTATTCAAATCGTTTTTACTTTTTACCTTACCAAATAAAAAAAGCAAAATCCTAAAAGATAAGATTGTGTGGTTCAGGCAAAAAATCATTTAAAAGTCAGCTAATTGGCATTCTTTTAACTTTTACCTTCTAATAAGCATATTAAAATAGACAAATTTCACATTCCTAATTGGGTCTTAGGGTTGAGCTATATAATGCAAGGGAATAATACATTCTAAGAGAATCCCCGCCCCCTCTCAAAAATAAAACATTGCAATGACAGTTTTACAGTTCTGAATTACACAGGTATCATCAACTGTCTTAGTTCTTCTTTACCGCCACTGATGTTTGACACGGAAAAGGAGCTTCGATTGTCAGCTAACATTACAAACCAGCTTGATATGTAGAAATCTTTTTTTTAATCACATAGAGGTGAAGTTATTTGATTCCTGCAGGTAAACTGCTCTTCCAATATACACTGCAGAAAAGAAAATACAGCATTATCACTAACATTTGTGCATAAATTAGATGCCATAAATCTGATTCCCATTCTGTCTCCCAGAATCAGTGTACTTTGTACTGGGACTGTTGTTTCAGAAATTTGGAAGGGTGATTCCAATAAAATGACATGCGTATTCACAGGATTTCCTTGGCTGCCCCAGATCCAGACTGAGTGACTTGCTATAAAAATAGAGAAACACACAAAGCAGCATTTCAACATAAAAACCAATAAAGTTAAAATTACAGCAACTACGTAGATACATTGTAGGTGATGGGGGATGCCCAGATGGGGAGGTGGACTTAAGCTAAACTTACATTGCTGCACATCCACTAGAGCAGGGGTCTCCAACCAGGCTGCAGCATGCCAAAAACCAGACCACAAACAAAGCAGGATATAGGCAGCATGAAAAACCACACACACACACCCCTCTGGTCCACAGAAAAACCTCCATGGAACTGGTCCCTGGTGCCCAAAAGGTTGGTGGGGGAGGGGTCGCAATACTAGAGAACCAAGACTGACAGCACAACCCTCCTAGGCTCTATGGAACCTTATCTATCAGTTCCCAAGAGAAGGCAAGCAACCTGAGGAGATTCCTGTGTAATAGAATGTAACAAAGTAGTTAGCTTGAACTCTACATGTGTGGATCTGGCTGCTTGTACCTGACAGGCATTGTATCTAACAACCTACGCTTTCTAAATCTGGCAGAGAAGGATCCCATTCCTCCAAAAAAAATGGCGGTTATCTTATTCTTTCCTTAAAGCTACAGCAACATCCTTTCTCAGTATGGGCAGAATTAAAAAGTACACTGTCACAAAGAACAATTATTCAAGCCATAAATCACAGGTATTCGAGATCATCCCCCACATGTTGTACTTGGAAAGCTTTTAATAATTAGTGTCATCTCATAGCATAGCTGCTACTTTGCCAAAAAAAAATTCACCCAGACAGTTAAATTTTAAAACAATTGTAATTTCCCTATATTTTAAAGGGTAGCTCCAAGTAGAACACATTATAGATATCAAGTGTGAACTGATAACGGCTGTGATAGACTGCTATGCAGGTCCCATATTCCACAAGCAAAGGTGGTTGGTGTACCAGATGAAACTCAGTGAAGGTCCTGCTGGCCATGTTTGTACTTGCTTTCAAACAGGAATCATGAATCAGGAGAAACCCAGTGCTCCATCTGATGGAGTTTGACCAAATCTAAAATCAGTGTTGAAACTGACATGAAGCCAGATGACTTCTGGACCTACAGCTATTTATTTTATTTTTTGGGTGGGATTTAAATTGAATCTCTTTCATTCCATTGAGTGTCTCACAGCTTCCATACATCAGATTAGGATTTCCACTGGGGCTTCTGCTCAACGAAGAAGTAGAGGTGCATAGCTGGCAACAGTTGCTGTTCTTTCTCTGATATTTCCAATAAAACCCAAAGGAGACTGAGCCAAAACAACGTAAAGCTGTCAATTTCCTTGGCTTCCACAGGTTCAAAAAATGCCAGGTGACTTCACAAGAGATTGCCTCAGCACCTCATCTGTTTCTGCCCCATGATGTGTCCCAACTCACATGAGCAATTTTATCCAGAAAATGCCTAGCAAACAAATCACACTGGCTTGTAAATCTGCCAGTAGATTGAAAGATGCTGTAAGAATATTACTTTGTTTCATTCTAATCCTTTCCATTCCATATGCAATGTTTGTCACAGCTCCCCTTTTTAAATTTCTGTCTCGTTCCCTTTTCATTTTCTTCCTTTATGCTTCCATGTTTCATATATTCCTATGTTCATATCTGCACATTCTGTTCCCCAAAGAAACTAGAAATAGCAATGAAGTATCCATAAAGTATCTAGCTTCTCTCAGCTTCTTTCATTCTGAAAATAATGCTCTTTGGGCCCACCTATTCCGAAAGAGCTGATTGCAGTTCAGCCATTGGAATAACTGCTGCCTTAAGCAAAGGGCACACTTTATTTTTCCTTTCACATTATAGAATAAGATACACGACACTAGGATAGGGTTTTTAGGATGAGAACTGGCAGGTGACTTGACACAGAACAGCAGAAATACCTTAAGCTAGAATAATGAAAATTGACAAGCAGCAGTTCTTCAGCTGTTCCTCCCCCCACCCACCCCATCCTTGGTTGCCAAGAAGCAGCCTGCTTTTTTTCTTCTCTCACACACCATTATTTATCTTCATTTATTTATCTCTCTCATAGTCTCCCAAAAGGAGTTTCTTAACTAAAAACCTCCCAGTGGTTTCAACTTTCCTTGTAAAAGTAGATAGAACAATCTCCTGGTTGTTTTTGATTGTTGCTTTTTGCATTTTTATCAGACATAGCTTTTTTTTAAAAAAAAAAAATTAGATTATTTCCGTTAGAGAGAAAATAAAATGCTGTATATAAAATGTTGTTTCTAGCTCTATCTAGTGACCATCCTGCTAGGAATAATTCTAGTGATATTTTTTTTCTGCTAATTGGTTGAATAAAAACTTTTTTTTTTCTTTTAAAACGCTGAAATATCAGCTCCAACTTCCCTTCATTTTGCCTTTGCCGCTATACAAGAACTTGTTGAAGAAAGGCTCCCTTTGCCCTCTCTGATGCATTTATATAAAGGCAGCATAGAGGCGAGGAGATTGGTTGCTCCTGCTTGCTTTCTGACCTTGGGGGTTACCAAGTCTGACATTCCTGTGAGATCACATGGCAAGGATTGGCGGGCACAGCTGTCCCCAATGGAAGGGAGGGGTTTGGGAGGGGCCATTCCGATTGAATTTCACTCCAGCCGCTTTCCTGCTTTCCTTGCTGTGCTTTTCTTGTCTTCCACTTTCTTTGTGGCCTGGGTTTTAGAAAGCTCTGAGAGGATAGCAGCACCGAGATTGCTGTTCTAGAGGTTGCCTTTAACATTTGGGTGGGCCTTTCTTTCCCATCTCCAGTTGACATTCCTCCAGGCTGAGCCATCCGAGATTCCGGTGGGCTCTGAGCTTTGGCACCTTGAGGTCCATCCTCCTGTTTTTTAGCACCAGCTTCACTGTAATTGTTTCTTTTAGCCCATCTAAACAGTCACTCCGACAGGTCTGCTCTTCTGACAAGTTGGTATATGCGTCTCCAGAGCACGAAGGAGATGGGACAGGACCAGACCAAGCAGCAGATAGAAAAAGGACTCCAATTGTATCAGTCCAGTCAGACAGAAAAAGCCCTTCAAGTCTGGTTGCGGGTTTTGGAAAAGAGCACGGATGCAGCTGGCAGGTTTCGAGTCCTGGGATGCCTCATCACGGCTCACTCGGAGATGGGCAGGTACAAGGATATGTTAAAGGTAAAGCACATTGATTGGCTGCATGTCTTTTTCCTCTTGCTATGTTTACAGAGAGGGTGGTGGGTAGAAAAGTAGGGCTCCATATTACAGTTCAGCCACAATCTAAACAGCCAAACGTAGCACTGGTTGGGGTTCTTCTAAAATTGCAGATACCAAAACCCTGCCGAATTTTTACCTTTGAAAATTGCCGTTCTGCATTTCTGCTTGCAGTCCTAGACATAATGAGCCATTTAAAGATTTCTCCCCTGCAGAATTAAGTATGTTGGGTGTTACAGCGTTGGCCATTTGCGTGTGTACCTGGCGGGGTTGTGTGGTTTTGCAAAGCTGGGACATGGTATGCTGTGACTCTTCTTTATTTTGTAGAATTGTCAGCTGTATAAAATAACTGTAGATTAAACAGGAGGTGTGTGTGCAGGTGTGTGTGTGTCCACAAACACACACACACGGTTTATACTATGATGCTAGTGAGCTTCCAAATGGCTCATTAGATTTTTCAGCATTATGTGTTTGAATGGAACGTTCTCTCTTTTTTCTGTTCAAACTAACTACTTTCACAATGTGGTGGTTGCCATAGAAGCCACCCAGATCACTTTTCAAAGTGAGATACGTGGCATATAAATCTA